TGCCAGCAGAGGTATCTGGCACGAGACAACAATTCCCGGCACCCACAACACAATGGTGTGGCAGAAAGGATAAACCGCACTATTATGAAAAGAGTCAGATGTATGCTCAAAATGGCAAAGTTGCCAAAGTCATTCTAGGCTGAAGTCGCCAGTATAGCTTGTTACCTTATTAATAGGTCGCCTTCAGTCCCGTTGAATTTTGCGATGCCTGAGGAAGTCTGGTCCAAAAGAAAGGTATCATATTCTCACTTGAGAGTCTTCGGGTGTAAGGCCTTTGCACACATCTCTAAGGAAAACAGACAGAAGCTTGATGACAAGTCCACTCCATGCATATTTGTGGGCTATTCAGATGCAGCATTTGGGTACAAGGTGTGGGACCCAGTAGAAAAGAAGATGTTTAGGAGCAGAGATGTTGTGTTCCAAGAAGACCAGACAGTAGCAGATTTTGAGAAATCTACAAAGTCCAGAGATGTCATCACTCCAGACTTGTTTCCATCTCCCAAGCCATCACAAAATGCTAGATATGATCATGTGCAACAAGAAGTGCCAGAGTTGCAGGATCCTATGCCAGAAATTGAGGATCAGAAGGAAAGAGATAAAGACCTGGATGAAGAGGGTGTTGAGCAGGGGGAGCAACCCCCTCAAACAGAGGCAGCTGGGCCTCAGTTGCGGAGACCTGGAAGAGCTATCGTGCCATCAATCAAATATCCCGCTTCTCAGTATATTCTGATTACTGATGAGGGGGACCCCGAGAGTTTCTCGAAAGCCAAGAGTCATACAGAGAAAGACTGTTGGATACAAGCCATGAAGGAGGAGATAAGTTCTTTGCAGAAGAACCACACTTATGAGCTTGTTCCACTTCCAAAAGGCAGGAGAGCCTTGAAAAACAAATGGTTGTATAAGTTAAAGAAAGATGGAAACGATAAACTATTGCAGCATAAAGCTCGTTTGGTGGTCAAAGGCTTTGGGCAGAAAAAAGGAATTGATTTTGATGAGATCTTCTCCCTAGTTGTGAAGATGACTTCTATTCGAGTAGCTCTGGGATTAGCAGCTCGCTTGAATCTGGAAGTAGAACAAATGGATGTCAAGACTGCCTTTCTCCATGGTGAGTTAGAGGAAGAGATCTACATGGAGCAACCAGAAGGATTTGAAGTTAAAGGAAAACAGAATCTAGTCTGCAAACTGAAGAAGAGTCTCTGTGGCTTGAAACAGGCGCCGAGACAATGGTATAAGAAGTTTGATTCATTTATGGTGGATCACGAGTACACAAGAACGGTGGCAGACCAATGTGTATATTTTCACAGGTTTTCAGATGGAAACTTCGTTATCCTACAGTTGTATGTCGATGATATGCTGATCATCGGACAGGATACTACTATGATCAACAATTTGAAAAAGGACTTGTCGTAGTATTTTGACATGAAGAATTTAGGCCTAGCACAGCAAATTTTGGGCGTGAAGATTGTTCGTGACAGGAAAGCCAAGAAGATATGGCTGTCACAGGAGAAATATGTTGAACAGGTAATTGAAAGGTTCAACATGAAAGATGCCAAGCCAGTTAGCACACCACTGGCCAACCATTTCAATGTGTCAAAGCGTTCGTGTCCCACGACCAGCTCTACAAGGAAAGAAATGGAGACAATCCCTTATTTTTCCGTAGTGGGAAGTTTGATGTATGCAATGGTGTGTACCCAGCCAGATATAGCTCACGCAGTTGGCGTTGTGAGCAGATTCCTCGCCAATCCAGGAAAGGAGCATTGGGAGGCGGTTAAATAGATTCTTTGGTACTTGAAGGGAACTTTAAGGATGTGTTTATGTTTCGGGGGAGCTAAACCAATTTTGGAAGGTTTTACAGATGCCGATATGGCAGGTGATCTTGATGGTAGAAAGTCTACATCAGGATTTCTATTCACCTTTGCAGGGGGAGCTGTTTCATGGCAATCCAAACTACAAAAGTGTGTTGCTTTATCTACAATAGAGGCAGAGTACATTGCTGCCGCAGATGCTGGAAAGGAAATGTTGTGGTTAAAGTGGTTTCTCCAAGAATTGGGTCTACAACAAGAAGAATACAAGGTACATTGTGATAGTCAAAGTGCAATTGATTTGAGCAAGAATTCCATGTACCATTCACGTACAAAACACATTGATGTCCGGTATCATTGGATACGAGAAGTGATGGAAAAGCAACTAATGAAGTTAGTGAAGATTCACACAGACAAGAATCCTTCTGACATGATGACCAAGGGTGTCACCAGAGACAAACTGGAAGTTTGCAAGAATCTGACCGGGATGGACTTTAAGTGAGAAGTCAGTTATCCTTCTGGGCATGGAGGGGGAGAATTGTTAGCTCCAGTTCATAAGAAGACCATTCAACTTCTCCATGTGAAAGCATGGTATTGCTTATCAAGGAATGTGGCTTGTCGGTTGGCAAGCCGCAAAGGTGGATGGATTTGCGACGACCACCGAAAGGAGAAGAAGAAGGCTGGCTCTCCTCACCTACCATCTATGTGCATAAATAGAGAGGCTGAGAGGAGAGAAAACAAGGAGCAACACAGAGAGAACAAAGTGTGAGAGTGTATGTGAGAGAGTTCTATAATCTTTCTCCGGATAATATATCGTTCTCCGTGGATGTAGGCAATTGCCGAACCACATAAATATTCTTGTGTTATTGTGTGGAATTGATTTATCATGTCCAATAGTCCTAACAGTTTTCTCAGTTCTGTTATTGTGCTGCTGTGTATCTATTGGTCTCTCAAAAATAGGTTCTTGGTTGGATGCTGCCATGTGATTGAGAGAGTTGCTTAGTGCCAACCTAGTTGGGATTAGGCTGTTTCGCTATAATGGCCGCTGCATCTTTCCCCTCCTCCCCCTCTCCATCCCTTTGTTGATGTCTTTTTCCTTCCTTGTAAGGTTTCCATTCATCAATAAAGTGTTCTCCGTTGTTGATCAAAAAAAATATAGCAGCAGCAGTAGCAGTAGAAACTTGGGTTTATTTGTTTATAAAATGAGAAGAATAGCAACTATTTGTGTGATTGAAGTGATGGAAGGTGGGGTGGAGGGGTTCTTCTAGTAGATAAACAGGATTAAAATCTGATATAAACAGAATAAAAAATCTGATTACTTGTTACACTGTGATTGTAGGTAAACAGAGTAAAAAATAACATAAAGCAGAGTAAAGAAACCCATTTCATAGAAAAAGACCTATTTCATTTGATAGTAGATATACTATACTTATCAAAATCTGATATAAACCTAACTAAATGTCTTTCATCTCTCATATTGGTTCGCTTTTAACCATTTGTTAATTTTGTGTTCCGATTGAATCTATGAAAAACAGAAACAAAAAAATAAAGTCTCTATTACTGTGTTAGATAAGTTTTACATGACCTGTGAGGCAATGTTATTGTGTCGGGCAAAGTTATTGTGTCTGTCAAGGAATTTCCTTAATTCTTCTTCAAAGTAACTCTATCATATTGTATTATAATTCATTTCCTAGATGCTTCTTCTCTTAACAAATGGAAAACAAAAAGAAAAAAGAAGGAAAGAAAGAATGAAAAAACATGGATTTTTTTTTTTTTTTCTGAAGTACACAGGAACAAAGATGTATGGCTTGTTACGTTATTGGATGAATGGTAGTTTGGTAATTGCCACTTAGTTGCTTATTAGTATAAATAACACTGTATTTTTAATTTCGCCTAATCTGTTTATCCTTGTCTAGCATATAAAATAGAGAAACAAAAACGATATGCTATTTACAATTTCATATTCCTAAAGTTTTCAGCATTTGCCCGTGTTTATGAAAGGTGCTTTTTGTCAATATTGAGACTTAAAATTGTTTTTTTATTTTTTATTTATTTATTTATATATATATATATAAAGAAAAAGCCCAAATTCATGTCACTTTTTGCCTGACAAACTTGGTAAGAGTGTAGATAGATCAATACTTCATTTTGTTTATTTAGTCTAACCAATGTATAAGTGCTCTTCCAAAATTTTAATTAAATTTTGTTGGCAAACTTGTGCCTTGTGTGTTATATTAGATAAATTGATCAGACTTTGATTTATATGTAGTCCATAAGTTTGTATAATGTATTAGGTACTTACTTGGATTAGTTTGACTTTTAGAATGTTTTCTAGCCCACTAGTATAGACTCATACTACAAATATCTACATCTATATCCATATATAGCTATGAATTTTATGAATTCCCTGTGTGTTGTACATATTCAACATTGCCAGTACTAAGTTCATGTTAAAAAATGTAGACTAATCGTGCACCCCATTGTAGGATTCTTTTGCTTATACCCTCACCCTTCCTTGGTAAAAAAAAAATTAAAAAATTAAAAAAATAAGTAACCTGATAACTTAGTGGATCTCTTTTCAGTATGAATTCATGAATCTAAATACAAATATGCGAGTAAGACAAGAGAAATTGGATATAGATTTATTTTATTTTATTGATAATTTAATTTTAATGACAAAAGAATAAGAAATGATTTATATAACTGATTCCAAGTTTTTGAGATGCAACACTTAATTTAATTCTATTAAAATTTCTACAAAATAATTGTAGCTAAATAAGTTGATAGGACATAACTTGGACTTGGAAGGCATGTCTTTCAATCCTTGAACCAAAATTCTCATTTTGTTCCTAGGTTAATCTTTGCTTGATTTGTAGGTCACAATAATGGACAAGAGTTGGATGCTGATAAATAATAGGTTGACAACAAAGAGTATCAACAAGGGGTGAAGTCATTCTTGATTTTACTACCGAAAATTTAGGCCCACATGATGAAATTAGGTGTCCTTGTGTCGATTGCATGAATGGCACAAAATTTAGCAGACGAGTTGTGTGGATGCATCTGATCCGAAGAGGAATTGCGTCTTCGTATATAACTTGGGTGCATCATGGAGAACATGTTCTCATTTCTCATCCTAGTGTATCAAGTGACCATTTTGGAAGTAGTGGAGAAGGTATGCCAGCTATCGATCATCCAATGATGGGTGAATTGCCTAATATGTTGGAAGAAATCTACATGAGTGGCCTTATGGATGATCATATCGACGAAGAACCTACTAGTTTGGAGAATGAGGATTTGCAGAAGTTCATTAAGTTATTTGAAGATGCTCAACGCAAAATTTACCCAGCATGTGAGAAGTTCTCTGTGTTGTCATTCGTTATTAAGATGCTTCATGTGAAGGTGTACAACAAATGGAGCAACAAGTCATTCGATATGGTTATGCAGGTATTCAAGGACATTCTACCAAAATGTGATCAAACTGTTCCATGGACACTCTATCATGCTAAGAAGTTCTTACGTGATATGGTTATGCAGGTATTCAAGGACATTCAACCAGAATGTGATCAAACTATTCCATGGACACTCTATCATGCTAAGAAGTTCTTACGTGACTTGGGTTTGGGATATGAAACCATTCATGCGTGCAAGAATGATTGTGCACTATTTTCGAAGGAGAATGCGAATTTGGAGAAATGCCCCATATGTGACGAGCCTAGATACAAGTTGAACAATGATGGAGGTAAAAAGATTCCCCACAAGTTATTGCGGTACTTTCCTTTGACATCGAGGCTAAAAAGATTGTATATGTAAAAAAAAAACAGCCATAGATATGAGATGGCACAAAGAGAAGCATATGGATGATGACATATTAACGCATCCGGTTGATGGTGAGGCATGGAAGGATTTCGATAAGCAACATCCAATGTTTTCTGTTGATTCTTGAAATGTAAGGCTAGGGCTAGCGATAGATGGTTTCAATCCATTTGGAAATATGAGCACATGGTATAGCATGTGGCCCGTAATCTTAATGCCTTATAATCTCCCACCGTGGAAGTGTATGAAAGAGCCATTTTGCATGATGTCATTGCTTATTCCAGGACGATCGGCGCCTGGAAGAGACATTGATGTTTACCTGCAACCATTAATAGAAGAATTGAAAAATTTGTGGGAGCATGGTGTGCAAACATATGATGCATCGAATGGCCAAATTTTTAGAATGCATGCAGCAGTCATGTGGACCATTAATGACTTCCCTACATATGGTAACATGTCAGGGTGGAGTACAAAGGGTTACTTGGTTTGCCCTAATTGTAACATGAATGCATCGTCACAGGGTTTGAGAAGTAAGATAGGGTACATGGGTGCTCGTCGCTATTTGCTTGAGAACCACAATTGGCGAAGGAGTAAGCTCTTCAACGGTCAAATTAAGGACAGGTCCAAACCTATGGACTTATCGGGGGAAGAAATATTAGAGCAAATTGATTGTGGGACTTACAAGCCGTATGGAAAGCACCCACACAATCGAAAACGACAAAGGAATGAAAATCCAAATTTGAATTGGACAAAGAGATGCATTATATTTGACTTGCCCTATTGGAAAATGTTGAAGCTTCGACACAACCTTGATGTCATATATTGAGAAAAATATATGTGACAATGTCATCGGGACACTCTTTAGCATAGATGGAAAGAACAAGGACATGGACAAAGCACGCTTAGATTTGGAGAATGTGAGAATACGTAAAGAGTTACACTTGAAGAGGCATGCCAATGGGTCCTTTGAGAAGCCCCCCACATTGTACACATTGTCCCCGACAAAGAGAGAAGGCTTTTGTCATTTTTTGAAATCAATTTAGTATCCTGATGGCTATGCAGCAAATATCTCTAATTGCGTGACCGCTCATGGAGGTAAATTATCTGGCCTCAAAGGTCATGACTGTCATATCCTTATACAATGACTTTTTCCGATTGGGATGCGTGGCTACCTTACTAAGGAACTTGGCACCACACTTTTTGAGTTGGGACATTTCTTTAAACAGTTGTGTTCAAAGATATTGAGGGTCACAGATTTGGAGAAATTGGAGCAACAAATCGTACTCATACTTTGTAAGCTTGAGAAGATGTTACAATGAGATGTTGCAACAGCGGGCGCAAGGACAGAAAGATCGAGAGGAGACTGATAAAAGGTTGATCATCTGAATAATGTAGTCACCAAACTCACACAACTCTTGGGGATCTAAGGTGGTCGAATGACGTTGACTATTTGGTAAGTACAATTTTATTAATGTTTAAAATAATTTGTTAAAATTTGTTAGATTTAACAATGAAGTAATCAATTGACCTGTAAGGACCAACGGTATGTGAATAGGGCATGTAGGTCACTTGAACCCACACCATAATAATAATACTTGGGGCGGATAACACATGTAAGCATGCCAGGTCACGACCTTTTATATGAACAAATCTTTGATGTCCAAATTTGTAATTTTTGCTGGATTGTTGGTTTTTTGTTGTTGCATATTATCTTTATTGTATTTTTTCACAAAGTGAGGTGATGCAATTAGAATTTTGATCACGTAACAATTCAAAAGACTAGATGCTACTTACGGTTATGAAATCATCTTTGCAGGTTTATTAGATGTTCATTGTTAGGATTTGTGTAAGTTAAAAACTAGTTCTTTTCAGCTACTCGATGTTTTTCCCTTGTTAACTTTTTAGTGACATCAGGATCTGAACTGTTACCGCCTTGTGGTGCAAAGCAATTCTAATGTCTAAAATTGTGATCACCATATTTTGTGTCCTTCAAATTATTGGGGATTATCACCTAAAGTAGTCATGTTTTAGGTGTCATCGATAAATCAACCACGATTTAGGTGCAAACTTGTAATATTGGATTTAGTTGCTGGATCTGAATTGTTATCACCTTGGATTTAGTCATATTTTGCGTTTAGTTTCTGTAGTATGCATAATATTGGATTTAGTTCCATTTCTTTGATGCATCATGTTTCTAATGTATGATTGTGGGAAGTAAAACTTACTTTGGGACTATAAATTCTTTTTTGAATGTGTTAAGGTTTCTATATATAATTTATGACGAAATTGGACGCTTTATGAGTTGTCAAGGAATTGCCTTTTGTATTTGCTTAGAGTTCTTATCTGCCGGTTGATTTGTGTCTGTTGCTCAGCTATTAAATATTTTGGATTGTTGTACATTGTTAGAGGTGTTACTATGTATCTTATTTTGTGCTCTCAAATTGCTGATTGCATTTTCTTTGTACCTTTCACAAATTTCCTTCATTTCTACTTAATTTTCCATGTGGCCTCTGTTTGTGGAATGCTTTGCAGAAAACTTATGTCTTTTGCTAATCTAATTACAAAAACATCCAATGTACATATATGTGGAGATAAATATTAGTTGAATGTAAGATGTTGGAAAGTAAGAGAAAGTGTTTTGTATCTTTCATCTCAAGTTTAAAACCAAAAATGTGCATAGCAGAGTTGGCACAATCATTTCCATTACTTTTGTCTTTGCTCGAGAGCAAACTTGATTTCTGGACTTTTTATGTTCATAGTCATAATATCGTTCGAGGCTCCTACACATTTTCCGTCAACTGTTTCCCACACCATAAGGTTTTGGCTATGCATAGTTGGTGATTTGTTTATTGATTGAATAGTTTTGGAATATGATACCTACTAGTGTCCAATAACAATAGTTCAATTTTACCCCAGTCCTATTATGAATCAAATGTATGCTACTCCAACAAATGCTCTGCAATTGTTAGTGCACTCAAAGAACAACCTCTGATGGCCAAGAGATGTTCCGCTCAAGTATTGCTAATATTATGTTTTGCCAAAATCAACTCTTATTCGGAAAAAGCCGTTCGGGGGGCGAAAATGTGAAAAAGCCCCCCAACCAATGTTGTGATGTAACCGGCAAGTTTCTCGTGCCAAATATGACCTGTAGGGCCAGATGATATGTAAATAGGATAGGTAAGCTGGGAGTTGGGGGAGAAAACACCTTAAACTTAGTCGAAAAAGACATTCGAGGGGTGAAAATGCAAAAATAATTATTAATTATGTGCAATGATTACTTGTAAAATATTACGTGTTGCATGATATGTGCGATCAATATTTACATATTTTTTTATATTATAAATTCGATTATGCAAAACTAATGAATTATTTGAAAATATTAATTATATTCGTGTTGTATGTATATATTTTTTTTATAATTTTAAATTTGCCAAAATGTAGTCAATATTAATGATTAATTTTTTGTTGTACAGATGGTTTTTGGCATGGAATTGCAGTCATATTAGTTTTATGGCGTGGTACAGGAGACTAAATTTGACGTCGTACAGATTAATCTTTGATGCGGTACAAATTACCTTCTCACATGGTACAGATTACTTTTTTGGCATGGTACAGATTACCTTTTGGCGTGGAACAAATTACCTTTTGGTGGTACAGATTAACAATTGGATATTAATTTTGTTTAATCCTATGTTATGTATGGATTATATTTTTCAGATTGGATTATATTTGGTTTGTATGGAATTTCTATTGAAATATTAATTTGATGTTAAATATGAATCTTTTTTATAGTTGAAAGTGAAATTTGTGCATGTTGTGGAATGGTTGCTAATTTTATCAGTATATCGATAATTATATATATATATATACATGTTACAGATTGTACTAATAATGGAAAAAATACAAGTGGTTGAGAAAGTAATTAAAAAAAATTATAAAATTTTTGGCGACTAAATATTTTGATAGCCAAAAATGCAAGCAAAGATTTTTTATGACTAAATATTTAGTAGTAAAAAGAAACAAAAGACTTCTAGCGACCAAATAGTTAGTAGCTAAAATAAATGAAGATGAGGGAACAAACTTTTGCCGATTAAAGATTTTAGTCACGAAAGAACATGTCATCCTTCGGCGACTAATGTATGGTCATAAAATACCATGAAAAGAAAATATCTAATCTTTTGGCGACTAAAATGTTTCGTCGTGAAAACAAACTACGACTAAACTATTTCATCGCTAAATGTATTATTATTATGACTAAAATTTTTGTCGGTAAATGTATTATTATTATGACTAAAATGTTTTAGCAACTAAATATTTTAGTCGCTGAAAGAGAATTTTATTTTGATTTAATTACTTTTGGCGACTAAATATTTTGTCGGCAAAACATCATGTTTGGCCACTAAAATGTTTTAGCGACTACTTATTTTAGTCGCTGAAAGAGAATTCCATTTTGATTTAATTAGTTTTGGCGACTAAATATTTGGTCGGCAAAATGTCATGTTTGGCCACTAAAATGTTTTAGTGACTAGATATTTAGTCACTGAAAGAGAATTTCATTTTGATTTAATTACTTTTGGCGACTAAATATTTGGTCACCAAAACGTTATGTTTGGCGACTAAAATGTTTTAGCGACTAAATATTTTAGTCACTGAAAGAGAATTTCATTTTGATTTAATTACTTTTGGCGACTAAATATTTGGTCGCCAAAACATTATGTTTGGCGACTATGTCCGTTTTAGTTGCCAAATATAAGATTATTAGCGGCCAACGTTATATTAGTCGCCGTTGACTATTGCCGACTAGGCTTTGGCGACCAACGGGGCGACAAATAAATTTAGTAGCCGTTGACTTTCGCCGACTAAAAAATAACCTTTGGCGACTAAAAATTTGGTTGCCAAAAGTATAATTTCTTGTAATGTGGTATATTTGATGTAACATATTTTATATTTATAATTACTCTTCTATCAATTAAATATATATATTTTTTGAACGTCAATTCTTCAATCACTTTCAAGAGTGAATCAATATTTTTTCCCTTGGTTTTAGTCTAAATTTTGATAAAACATTATCAATTGGACTAAATTAATATAATATAAAAAATTTAAAAATAAAATTGATGCAATTAGAACAGTTATAAAGATCAAATTCATACCAAAAATAAAATAAATAAACTACAAGACTTCATGTGTAATTTGCCCGCCCTATGTTTTAACTAATCAGGATTTCAAATGGTGTCTCTAAAAGCCAAGTATCAAATAATCCATATATGATGGCTCATTTGCCAACCAAAAACCACTTTAATTATAAGTAGATAGCCTTTGATTGGGCCTAAAAGTTATTATAAGCTACAAAATCATACCTTGCGACTGTAAAGCTCTTTCCTAATGTCCTTTTGGATCTTGTAAGGTTCTTTTGGATCTTGGATTTAGATAGTAATTTGAAAGAAAAATAGAAAAAGTAAGTGAAATATAAATAGAAAATAACATTTCACCTACATTTTTTTTATTTTCTTTCTAAATTTCTACCTAAATTAATGATCCAAAGACAATTTTAAAGTAAGAGTTTTTAATTTCTAATAATGCTCGAGTCTCTTAATATTCTTGGCCCCATAATATCACAATAGTTTCATTCTTTTTGTCTGTAAGTTTTGTACTGAATTCAGAAGAGTAGTTTAACCTCCCTGTTGGGTTGTTTACTTGTTTTTCGAAAGTAGTTCTTGGAGGTAAGAGCTTATGGCTCTTGTAAGATAATAATTTAATTAATAAGAGCACATGTCTTATTTGGTTCGACTTAAAAATGGTAATCTAATCTAGATGACCTAATCT